CAACACCCCGCCCGCCCCCCTCTCTCCTCACGGGGCCCCGTGGAGTGATTTGAGGGGAGGGGGGCGTCATCGCATAAGGAGGGGGGGAGGGGAATGGCCCCGCCGCTAGGTCTCGCCAGGGGGCTGTCCATAAATTAGGCACGGCGTTTATGCGGAAAAGGGAAGTGAAGTGAAGGGTGGGGGACGGGGTGGGATGGGAAAGGGTGGGTTTCAAACCAGGCGCCCCACCACTTAACCCCCGCACGGTCAGCCTGCAGGCCGCACGCCGCGCGCCCACGCGTAAGATGGGTTGCCTGGCACGCCGGCGCGGCACGCGCCTGTCGTCTGCCTGTCGCGGCCGCCCCGCCCCGCCCCGCCTCGCGGACAGGCCGTACCACAATGGACTAGCTGGCCCGCCTCGCCGGCGCGGGGCGGCGTTTAGTCGGCCGTTCTGGCATGATATTTAATTAATGGCCCTTCCCTAATGCTCTGCCTTCCGCCGCCGCCTGCCCTGCCCTGGACCCCTCCGATTCGCGGCGCCGTTCCTCTCTATTTTCTTTCTGCTTTCCATTTATCTATCTACATATCTCTCTCTCTCCCTCTCTCCCTCCCTCTCTCCCCCCCTCTCTCCCTCCCTCTCTCCCTCCCTCCCTCTCTCCCTCCCTCCCTCTCTTCTCCTGTCGCTGGAGCTATGGCTCTCTCTTTCTCCTGCCGCCAGGGGCGCCTTATTTCAAATTCTGAAACATCTCTCTTTCGCCTGCCCCTCTCCCGCACTTCCTCCCCCGTGCTTTCCGCTCTCTGTTCCTAACCCCCAAGTCGAAATGTCGCGATTCCCAATGTGCTCTTTCATCTTTTTCATCCTTTAACATTTTTCCTTTACGTAGGCCGCTTTAAAGTTTGTGGTCTGGTGCTTTACGCCACAGCCATCGCATCCATTTTGACACTAGATTATCCACTTATGTAACGTACAATAAGTACGGGCAGCGATGCGTTTTCGGGGGCAGTCGTGTCACAAAAAGTACATTTATTTTCTCAAAGACAGTCGTTAAAGTCTCATTGTTTCGATCGTAACGAAACGCTTATTTTCATGCAGCTGAAACCGGGGTGGTTTGGTTATACCAAGCCGGTCACTTTTCTTGCCTGTAGAGCTCATGAATAAGGTCTATAAGACAAGAGCACGACGATGTCGGGTGAGCGCCCCTTTCCGGAAACCGGCGCACTTCCTGTGCCTCGCATACTTCTTCAAGTTTTCTGGGCACATGCCAGAAATCTCTCAGCAGTCCGATTCTTCCGATGCGCCTAGAGAGATACATCGCCTGACGCTCCAGGCGAGCTGATAGCACACATTTTTTTAACCGGGCACAAAACAACGCCAAGGGCGAAACATACACAGACACACAGGCTCTCCCTTCTTCTTATCAAGACATACTGTCAAAAACATTGTACCAAAGCACACCGCGTACACCAAATGGATGGTAGGTAAGTGGGGTCCACAATATCACTCCCTCCGAATATACATATCCTATCCCCAATTATTTCTGCTTGTCTCTAACACATCTTGCCTGCATTCTTGTCGTTCCCGACGCTGCCCTCTAGCTATCCCCCCCCCCCTCTCTTTGCCGCCTCTGCTCGAAAAGGGTTTCTGCTTTGTTGGTCGAAAGCGATTGCCGCGCTGTCGCCCCTGGTGTATAGCGCGGCACGCCGAGACGGCTGGTCTGGCGGGGCGGGGCGGGGCGGGCGCTGCGGCTCATTGTCTTTCACTGAGACGGTATCATCATCATCATCATCTGCAGGAGAGAATAATAAAGTTCCCCCCGGGATGGCCTACTGCTCGTGGGACGAGACTTACGAGGGAGAGGGGAGGGAGTGGAGCGTGCAGGGCTCGGATGCTGATAGCTGCTAGCTGCTTCTACCGCTGCTCTGGGGCCAAAAATCCTCGCGAGGTTTTAATTTTTCCACACGGCTCGTTCTTATTTGAGCGATAGTTTGTCTGAAGTACTTCATTTTCGAGAGTGCACCCGGAGAACCGCGTTTCTTGAGTCGATTGTTCTTTTTCCACTTTCGAATAAAATAATCTGGCCTCAACCTCAACAAATTTTTGTCATATTTTTTCAAAAAAATATGACATATTTACAAAAATTGTTGAATAGTTCACGAATTATGTTCTCGACCGGGCCTATTAATAATGCGAAGCACGTTAGTGTAATTGTGTGGTCCATGGTGACGGTGCGTAGGAGGAGAGGTGCGGTGGCGGTGTTGGGTTGCCGAGAGAGGGACGTCGCCTTAGCGCCGGTGAGTCGCCTCTTCCTAATGGGTTGAGGAATGGGGCTGGAGGGCTGGGGGGGCATCGTCGTGTGGGACACGCTATAGAATGCAGGCGTCCCCTCCCGCCCTGCCGCCTCTCCGCCTCGTGCTCCGTTCCACCCAGTGACGAATGGGCCGTCTTAAGCCTCGCTCGTCACTCTGCTACCCCTCTCCTCCCGCTACCCTCCGAACAAGGAGGGGAGGGGGGGGGGGAGAGAGAGGATAGGCAGCACGTAGCACTGGTTCACCACCCCTTTCCCCCCAGCGAAAACTACGTTGGCACGCCGCGTCACATTTTGTCCTGAGCGTCGTCCATCTCAGTCTGTCGGATGGTAAACAGATATATTTTCCCTCTCTCCCTCTCTCTCCCTCCCGCACCGTCCCTCTCTTTACCTCCCACACTCTCTGTCGTAGCCGTAGTACTTTCTCTCGCGTCATCATCAGCGCTATACCTACGGCCTGTAACGTTTGCTGCTGCTGCTGCTGCCCTGTCCGTCTCTGCCGCTCTCTGCTGACTTCGAGGGAGGAGAGCGGGGAGTCTGTCTGAAGTAAACAACGTTTCTCTCAACATTTGCGCGCGCCGAGGATGTCCTTGTCCCGCGTCTCGGCAGAGCCTCTGCAGAGCCGCTCGCAGCCAGAGCGGGGCCATCATCATCATCACAGTTATTGCAAGCCTGCTGATCCTGCTAACACCCCCGCGTCGCGCCGTGTGTGACGCGTCCCGCAATAGAATTACATGTTCTTTCCCCTTCTCCCTGGTCTCTCTCTCTCTCTCTCTCTCTCTCTCTCTCTCTCTCTCTCTCACGCTCCCTATCTCTCTCCACCGTCTCGACGGGCTCCGAGGCGCCATTACTCCTTTCATAACGTGTGGAGGAAAAGGAGAGCCGGGCGACGACGGTCTTTACTACCGTGATCCACACGAACACGGGGCTGGCGGCGTGGCGTGGAGAAGCTCGGTGCGCTCGCCGAAGGACGAGAGAGTGCGAGAGAGAGAGAGACGCACGCGACGGAGACATCCCGTCCTGCCCATTCCCTCTCCTTCATCCATTAGCAGAGAGAGAGTGGACGACGTGAGGGGTTAGTAGGGGGAGGGGGGGGGGGTAACCACTAGGGCTAATACATCCTGTCCCCCCTGCTGCTGGATACGCCGATGCCGCAACCCTACACCCCTTGCTCACTCACCGCCCCTCGCCCCTCCTCTTTGCACCCCCTTCAAGTAGCAGTGCGGGGGTATTGTGTCGTATAGCACTTCTTACGACGTGCACCCCCCCCCCCTTACCCCTCCCTCCACCTTGAACCATACCCGCCCTCTCCCCTCCGCCGGCGTATCGCCGGGCTCGTGCACAAGGGCCCGCTATGGACCCCTTCTACCCTCCTTCCCTTTTCCCCTCCACGCCCGGCTGCTGCTGCACAAACCACGGCAAAGCAGCGGACTCTGATAAAGATTGCGCCCCGGCCCCGCCCGGAGAGGAAGGGGGTGAGAAGTGGTGCGGGGGTGGAGGGGTTGGGGTAGAGCCTGAAGACCGAAAGCGATGCAGTCGAGGGCGGGTGTAAGGCATTGTCGCGTATAACTATTACAGCCCGTATATCGGCTCTTTTATTTCACACTCTGCTGCTCGTGCTCGAAGTTCCTCCAATGTTTTCCCAGTGTACTGGGTCTTTGATGAAAAGAAGGAGGACACTTTTTCAATCATTGTTTATGACTCTCAGACTCCTAATATTGTTTAATTCGAAAATTAATGGAAACGATGAACAAATGCAAATTATCGAATAAAAAACATGCACATTGTAAAAAAAATAATTGACACTCTAGCAGCTGGCCCGCCCGTCCATCTAGTCCAACTATTAGTGCCAGGGTTACTTTACAACGAATTTATTACGCCAAAATCGGGGGTAAACGGTAAACTCCTGGATGGCCGTTCCCTTGCTAACACGTTCAGTGTGGCTGTGCATCTTGGTGATCGTACAAAGTGGCAAAGCGTGACTGCATTATGGTCACTCCGCACCGAACGTGTTAAGGGATCCCCAGCTGCGCATCGTCACACTTGCCGCAGAGCACCTGGACTCCGGGCAACACCCGCCGCACCTCGGTGCACTGCTTTCTGCATTCGTCCGGATCATGGTAAAGATTTGGGGCGCGAGGGCCTAGTAGTTGGCGCCACAGCAAAAGCCTCCTCAGCGCCCGCAGGCCGCACTGCTCTACGAAAACGTGCAGGTCGGCGCAGTGGTATGGCCACCCCCGGCCCAGCCCCGCCGCTTCGGTGCCCATCCACAGCACCAGCTCCTCTAGGGACTGGCCGTGAGCGCGCAGCAGAGACTGCAGCGTGACGCGGGAGAGACCGTCCACCGAGAGCCATCGGAGGCCGTCGCGTCCCGGCAGCAGTGCGGGCAGCACGAGGTTATTACTTCTCAGGGTGCCAGAGCCGCTTTCATTTCTACTGACCCTCATCTCGAGCCTCCTCAGTCGTGGCATGTCGTGCACCACGTGCAGGTGTTCCTCCCTCGGGTTGTCCAGTCTGAGCTTCTCCAACGTGGGCGCGGCGACCTTCAGCAGCTCGAGGCTCCAGGTGGGCCAATTTGTCAAGCGAGGGTTAGGGCCGCAGTCCACACCGCCGATCCATGTCACCTGCGGCAGCATTGAGTCAGTCTCAGGGCGGCGTGGCGATACAGGGGAGCGATACAGGTGAGGCTACGTTTGGCCGATGGTCTAATAGCAATCCTGGCCTGAACTTACCCCCGGCGCGGCCCGCAGGGTGGCTTCTGCCACTGCCTCGTAGTAGTTGTTGTTGTTGTTGTTGCAGGGCCAGGAAATGACAGGGTGACCTTCAGAACATTTCACCAACCATCGGCAATAGTTAGTTTACATTCGTTCGCATTCGATAAATAAAGCGCTTTCGATTCGTACTTTGAGAACTAACTGCGCAAATGTTCCGCAGACTCACCATGATGTGATTGGGTGGACATGTTGTTAATATGCCCCTCTTCCCTTTCTCGCGCAGTCCCCTCCTCGGTGAGCTTGGTCCGCGCCGCAAGCAGGAGGCACAGGGCCTCGGTGAGGGAGTCCGCAGGGTCCCCCGAGTTTCGGAGGGTCCCCGTCAGGATGCGGTCGCCTCCCTGCAGAGTCACACTCCAGGACTCTCTGGCCAGCAGTGTGAGGGCGTTCTGGGCCTCCTTCTCTTGGAACTGGCGCTGAACGCTCTGGAGCTGCGCGGCGGCCTGCTGCAGCACGCCCCCCTGCAGGCGCCGCCTCAGCGCCGCCATGGTGGTGAGGACCTCGTGCTCGCCCCAGCACCGGGGCGTGGCGATGGCGCTGCAGCTCGTGCACCACGGACTGGGGAGCCTATGTCGCGGGGAAGCGGTGTTGTGACGCGGTACAAACGGGTATACGAATGTCATGGTCCTCTCAGTGTGATGTTCCGGACCGCCAAACCGCGGAGCTCATATTAAGGACCCCATGATAATTGTACCTGGAATCTTACCCTGGGCTTCAAATAACATGAGGTCCAGCTGCTTGGCCCTGGACATACTTCTAAAAGACCATGACATTTGTAGGGCACGTGGTATGCCGCGCGACCTCTCACGAACGCAACAGGACAGAGCGTCTGGACTGTGGGCAGGGCTCGATGCAGCTCAGCGCGATAACGACAGGGCGTGCTGAGGAGACGTACCTCGCGTTGCCCTGGCACTCCATCAGCTTGAAGTTGTTGGGGAGCGACTCGGGAGTACCTCTGTAGGCCTGTGGGCGGGAACGGGTTCTGGTTAGCGGGACTCTTTCGACTTTTACTTACCATGGGCATTTCAGATCGAGTACAACACCGTCAGATCTCCATGGAGATTTCCACTGACACTGAGATGCATCTTACCGTCCGGCATATGGGACACCTCCCCCTCTCGCTCCCCTGGAGGCACTGCAGGCACACGGTGTGTCCGCAAGGCACGAACTT